CTGGTTACTAAAATTTGTGATGTATTCACTTGTAGACGAACCACCACTACTGTGTACTCTTCTGACACTGTATGATGATGACCTATGCGGACTATGTGATTTCTTTTATGCTTCATTTACCAACCAGTACCTGTGGACACAAACTTGTGCGAGAGAAAAAACTGAGTCTCTTAGAGATTTGAAATATACTGTTTTCGTCCCGAAGCTTAGAATATAACATTCGACCATTTTCTTCATGCTGGTGGACTTTGATTTTTTCCGTTTGTCATCAAGTAAACCAGTCTACTTAACATTATTCCTACGTGTAGAATGAGTGTAGCATCTGCCGGAAATTAAGGTGAGTTCCCGTAAACAGTTTATACACACACACCTAATAAAAAAAGGGAATCGAACCCGGGAACCAGTCCCTCAAGCTATTCAGAATGACTGTAAATACCTTTAGTGTATGCCTGTATATGTACTGGCTTATCACTTCAATGGTGAATGCTGAACATGGCATAACAAGTTGAAAATCCCTGCATCCGTTTGTGCACGAATTCATCGGAAGTCCACTGTCTTGTAAAAGATCCTGGAATGAGTATTTTTCAAATAGGATTCTCGAAAGATACTTCTACTTCTTTTCTGCATGATATGAACAGAATAAATTCCTGGTGGGAAGGTGGCATCCAACTATGCCATACCAGAATACTTATGTATTTTTCAAATTGTTGTTTAGCAATTTAAAAGTTTGTATGTCGATTGTGAAAAGTTCAGTTGTGTGGCCTCAGCTGTGAGAGCATGCGCGTACGAAGCGTAGGCGGCGTCCATGCGTGGGTTCAAATCCCACCGTGACTACTGAACTTTTCACAATCGACATACAAACTTATGAATTTATCGGAATTGGAGAATTCAATATAGATATTTGATAGATAAAACTGACTCAAATTCAGTACAACGAGCGGAACGGGACTCGACTCACAGCCTTAAAATCCTCATTCAAATGCTCCACCAACAATGGAAAATTGAATGCATGACTCAGTGTCACTTTCGCCGGATTCCGATAATGTTTGCACCAAGATTCCGGGCTCGATTCATCCACACTACCATGTCCGAGTCGGACCAACAGGTAGAGAAGTAACAGTGTCGTGGCCGGGCAGTGCATTTGCTCACACACACACAGCAGGAAATTTGTGTGATGAGGTCGAAGTTCGTGGTGTAAGAGTAAAATAATTCCTTTCGAAGTGAATCCACACGGCACAGATGACGATTGTTCCGTTCGCTTGATTCGATGTACTCTAGTTAAGTACGCACGCACACACACACACACATACACGGTATCACGAATAGAGACGGAGCACGCGCGGGTGCGCGTGAGACAACTCGTGTGTATACTGTTCAGCCGGACAAATTTTGTTGAGGTCTATGATGGCCGCTTTGTGAAATCGTCTGATTCGATGACGTGTATGGGTTCACCAGTGATCTGCATTTGGGCGAAAAGTGATACTTCCTTAATGGCTGTTTCTCTTCACATGTGCGCTCGCACACACACAGGCGAGTACGTGCACACAACCACCATCGCTCATAGACCTGTCTCATCCATGTGTAACTGGACCAACAAAACAATCGGATGAGAAATGAAGCACGGTGACATCAGTGATTGCAGTCCAGTTCAGTCCAGATTCGAATCCGCTGGGTGGGTGGGGGCAACAATGATCTCCTAATTACCGGAAGTAGTAAT